TTTAAAATAACTTGTACTATATCCATATATTTTTATTGATGAATGGATAATTTTTTAGATAAAAAAATAATATCATTTCCTTTTTTTTGTTATTTTGCTTTGTGATTATGTAATCATGTTTTTTGTCTGATTGACGACAAAAATTTCATCATTTAAGAAAAAGTGATTGATGCTCGTTCCTTTTTTTTGTTGCTACTTGAATATTTTTAAAAGTACAATTATTAGTGTTTTTTGGAAAACAAAAATATTCAATGATTTTATTTAAATGCAAAAGCTATGAGAGAGAACGGATAGTGCGAACGTTTCTGGACAACATGATATCCTAATTATTAGTGTTCGGTGATGCTTCTATTGATAACAAGACTGTTAGTATTGACTTCTTCAAAACTCTTTGATTATTCAGACTTACAAAATCAGTTTGAATGCTTTTGAAGAATTACTGCGAGACTTTCAGTTCTTAGCTCACTTTATAGAAGACTGTTTCGCTCTTACTGCGCTATACAAAAAGCAAACATTGGTAATAGAAGGTATTCAATAAGGGCATTATTACTGTGAAGGACAGCACACCGTCATGAAGAGAATAAGAAAGTAGCACACAATCAATTTTAAACGGTGTACGATCAGATTTATCGTTTCTAGATCATTTAGTTCAACTGCTTTTGTGCAGACATGCTTCTCGGGCCGTTCAAAGGTTTATTTATAATTCTTAATCAAGGTTACCATCTTCTCCACTTTTTCACTATTAAGTTTGAAATAATAAAATCTGTTAATATTAAGTAAGTTTTGATAGCTACCATCTATAATTGTCTGTATGATTCATTTTGTGTTCTATTCCAAGAAACAATGCCACTGTCGAAAGTATTTCTTCAACAATGAGACATTTGCTCAATGATTTTTGTAATTGAATGTCAGTAGATTAAATAACTGAAAAATTATAAATTCGTTGAAATACTTTATTATTGGACGACCATACGCAAATATCTGTTGCCTCAAAAAGACTATACTCCAAAAATAGTGTGCTTAATAGAATATCAATCTTGTTTATGTAATACATACATCATTTTTTTAATAATTCACAAGAACCGTTTCGAACTATGGTTTTATGTGAACAGAAAATTAGTTTAACTTATATGAAAGTCATGTCCTTTTAGTAAAGACATATCAGGTTGTCCTTCAACTGTTGTTTACAGAGAAACAATTGATGCTGTTCAAGCAATAATTGAAAATGATTTTTCACTGAACATATGAATTCATAGAAGGTATTCTCGGAATAATTTTATTAAGAATTATTTCAATTTTGTATTTGACATTATCATTAATGATCGATCATAGTTATATGATTAGAATAGAGAATAAGAAGTGTAGTCAAAGCTCATAGAAACAAAACTTCAGACAATTGCATCACGCCTTTTTTTTTCTATAAAATGTAGCCTAACGAAGCCCATTGCATTGGGATCTAACATGAGTTGTCAAACTACTTCAGAAGAAAAATAAAAGAACGGTATTTCGAGGTCTCAGCTTTCACAATGAATTTGCCGCTCTAAATCATATGGAAGTATATTCTAATCGAGCATATTCCACATACCTGAATGCATAAGACTCTTATCTGTTGTTCAAACTGAAATATCAATTACACAAAATTAGATTCAATAGTAGCAAGCCAATGTTACCCGTGCTTTGAGCAGCCATTAAAGATTCTTTAAAAATTTATTATTCACAAGTTATTTTAATTGAGTACACCAGTACATTATTAATGAACAATGGTACTTTGGAAAATTACACTAGAATCAGCCTTCAAATATTTCCTCAAAGCGGTGACGAAAAAATTTCGTAGTGCCCGTTGTATTTATCATGGAAAGAAGCAAGAAAATTATTTAAATCCATAGAAATGCAAGAACCCACAAAAACCAGCTTTCCACATGTTTTCGCTTCTCTGACTTGAGGAAGTGGCAACACTGTCCGAAACGTGTGAGTCCCACAAAAACTACGAACATATATTCTGATTCTCGTAATTGATCGAAAAATGAAGAAGTATTTTATTGAGAAAGTTTTGCATTTCCCGTTAAACTTGATTGCCGATCGGATACATTTAATGTCAACAAAAATTAAAATTAATAAAGCATAAAGTGCATTCGTCTATTAATAATTACTTACATTTAATGAATTTATTGTCTAATTGTTTAGAAAAGAAACTACTATCATCAAAAATCATTGAGTCATTTTTTGGTAAATTTCTATATTCATAAAGATGGGTTATTTAGCTTTGTTTTAATTTTAAGATGCTAAAAAAGCTTTAGTTATAAAACTTCTTTTGACAGATTCAATTAATCAAGTAAATTGTTATTTTGTTAATTCAAACGAAATATTCCCGTACAATATTAAAATTTCATTTGCAATTATCATGTTTAAAATAAACTTGTTTAGATAAATTTTTTTTTCGATTCATATATCTGTAAACTAATTTATTACAGAAAATTGAATAAAACAAGGAATACTAGGTAGTTGCATTTATTACTAAAAACTACTTTTGACATTTTCGAAAGATACAAAAAGAATAATTGTTAAAAGTTTTCATTATGATTACTTGCTTGTTTCTCCAAGATACTTCGCACAATATATATTCGTTGTGATTAACTTTTATCTAAGGTTTTGCTTTGATAGTACTCTATGCTTTTCATAGAATCAAGAAAAAAAAAGTCGTCCGGAAGCTCTAAGCAATGATAGATGTCATTAATGATTATTCCATTGGATACAATCATTGGAAAAACTGCTAGAAAAACTTCTATTTCCTATGAAAAACATTTTTCAATAATATATATTGAAATTTGATAGATATTTGTAAAATAAAATCTTGATTGGTTCTATTTGATTATCCGCTGAGAATTTTTGTTTATTTGTTTTGAAAGCAGATATCTAAGTTTTTCTCTTTCTGTTGTGTTCTATTCTAATGCACCTATTTTTATGTACTTTTTCTTTTGATTAATCATCTATCCCAGATTCATAATTTGATTACTAATAGTTTTTAAGCGTCATTTTAGCGCATGATTTACTGTGATAATGACCTATTATTTATCATAGTAAGATGTCTGTATCTCAAATTTCAAGTAATGTTCTTCTTGAGAAAATTCTTTTATTGCTTAATTCTGGATCAGACAAATATGTAGATTTCTATATATAATCTTCAATTTTCTTTATAGAAACTGAGCATGTACCCAATAGGATTAACATATTCGAAATTATCAAGAAAAACACTATTGATTAATGTATGTTTCCAAACTTTATTGTTTTTTAACGTAAAAATTTTAAGCTCTGTGTTAGATAAAAACTAAAGTCATTGGAAACAATAGAAGCAGATATCAATCGACTTACGATGGAATCTCTTCAACCGTTTCCTTCCGATTTCAATTATTTTTTTGCTTGTAGTTACTAAATAATGTTCTAATAAAAGCTTTAAGAGGGTTTAGATTTGAATAACCTGTCAAATTTTTTCTAGAAGCCTCAGATTTTCGTAAAACTCTTATTTTTGAATTTTGATCTGAGTTTTTTTCATGAAAGCCAGTCTAGTTGAGTTTTCTATATGCACAAGGTTTTAGATTAAAATTCGAAACAAAAATGACTTTTTCGAAAACCTCAGACTTCCAAAAAAAAAATTTGATAGTTGAGTCAAATCTCAATAGGAATTCAGTTTTTATTAGAATTCTATTTAGCATCTATAAACGAAAAAATTACATGAAAGCTTAGTTTCGATAAAGAAAATCAAGAATTAGGTTCAGATGTAGCAACAAAAAATAATTTTCTCAGTAATTAATCAATTTAGAAAAGAACGCAATACAGACTTTTGTGATTAATGAATCGAATAAGGTCAAATTTTTGGTTTCCTTACATAGAAAACGTGATAGGTTTACGAAAAATGACTTGTAGACAAACCAATATAGCTAATTCGAAACGTCATCTTCAAGTTTTTTTTATTTTAGGTTTGATCTAGTAGTGTCAGATTTTAATGATGAGTTTGAGAAAAGAAACGTAATTCTCAGAAGTGAAGTAAGAGAACAGAGTCGAAATTTTTCTATTAATTGAAAATAATGTATTTTTGACAAAAGGGCAAACAACTTCGTTCTATTTTTTTAACCTAGAAAATCTGTTCAACAACGCTTAACACTTTGTTTTCCTTCTTCATCAACACCTCAAGAACGCTATCGAGTCATTCATTAAAGAAAAGAATAAAAAAGACCTCGTTGAAATTCGAGTTGCGGACATTTTACAATATTAATATGTAGCGCATCAAATTTCATGCTTGAATATAACAGCGTCAATTGTCAACGTGATTGTTCTACTAGATTGATTTTTATGCGCTAAATTAGTTATTTAACGGATGTGTTTGTCAGGTAACGAACGTTGATCAATTAGTTGAATTGTTCATATATAATCACATATAGATGAATATTCTTCATTGATTTAAATTAATCGATGACATATGGTAGAGAATGACAAACAAGTATACGATAGGATTCATAGGTAGAATATTACGTGTAAAATTCCATATTGCACGTTTGCACGTACTATCCTCGATCGATTTTCACTGTTCCGGCGGCGGCTTTTATTCAGTTTGAATAACGTCGAGTACCATAGATTTCCTTCTACTTATAAGAAAGTTTTAAAAGCTATAAACAGAGTTGATAATATCGAAATCAAAACTGAATAAAAGATAATTCTTTAATGCTACTACTAGTCATTGAAATAAGTTTAGATCGATAATGGATTAATTATCATAATAATTGTAGTATGTTAACAAAAAAACAAATACTCAATCATCTTGTTTTACCTACGAGTAATAAATAAATATCTGATTTTATTAATAGATAATAAAGAATTAATTTGTCTAAAATTTGTTTAAATTTTCTAAAACTATTTACAATAAAATAAAGAAATAACCAAAAGATCGTATTTTCTATCGTAACTAGATGACGGAAAACATCGATGGAAGTAGTATTTGTAGTCGGATGGCAGAACTGGTTGCCGAATTCGAACAATCACGTGATCCTGATTCGACTGAACTTGGTCGACAATTTAATGTAAGAAATAAAATATTGCAAAATCATTTTATTTTTTTTTGCTTTCTTTTAAGCAATTACAACGAACTATAGTGGAAAATAAAGATATTTTATCTTGTAATGAAGGTGCGAAATCAATTAATCGTTTAAAAAACCATTATAAAGATATTTTACCATGTAAGTTAACTTAACAAGAATTCATTTTATATGAATAATAATTTATTTTAGATGATAAATATCGAGTCATTGTTTCATTAGATAATGATTCTGATTATATCAATGCTTCTTTTATTGAAGTAATATGATTTTTTTTTATTTATATTAATTTATTAAATTAAATTTTATTTCGATTAAGGATCTATATGGTTATCGTCGTTATATTGCAGCGCAAGGACCAATTGATACATCATTAATAGATTTTTATCATATGATTTGGAATTTTCAAATAACATCAATTATTTGTACAGCTAATGACGTTGAAGCTGGACGAGTAAGAAATTCTTCTATATAAATCTATGTATCGATTCGTTTTTTAGATGAAATTTCGTCGTTATTGGCCTGATGATGAAGAATCACTTCAATTTGGTCCTTATCATATAACTAAAGTAAAATCTTGTTTTTTTTTCTCTTTCAAATTTCTTCATCGATAGATATTTCTCATAGGATCCATCAAACGATAAATGTTATAGTTGTAATGACTATGAAATACGTTCATTAATAATTACTCGAGGAGAAATTCAACGACATGTATTGCTTTATCATATTTTACATTGGTTTGATCATGATATACCTAATGATGAACCATCTATACTTGAATTACTTTTACGCGTTTATCAAGATCGACATTCTTCAACGGATTCACCTATACTTGTACATTGCAGGTTTAATAAAAAAAAAAAGTAAACAAAAACTTAATATTTACTCTTTCTTATTAAAGTGCTGGTTGTGGTCGAACTGGAAGTATAATTGCAATTGATCTGTGTCGTTTACTTTTAAATGATGAGGTTAGAAAGAAAAACAATTTTTTTTTATGTTGATTAAATGAATACACACATATATATATATATGTTTGTTTTTTAGCATTTATTTTTTAGTAAAGATTATCAACCTTATGCTGTATTTAAAATAGCGTCACATATTCGTCAATTTCGTATAGCATTAATTCAAACACCTGTAAAAATTTTTTTTTCCTTGAGTATATATTTTTTTATGTCAATTTTTATAGAAGCAATATTTATTTGTACATAAAATGTTTGTGTTTATGATGAAAATACATGAAAATATTTTATTATGTTCGATATCAAATAATAATGAAAATCAAACATGTAAGTTTTTTTTTTGTTCTGTAGCATGATAAAGAAACTTTTCAGACACATGGCATTTTAAGGATCTGTCAGCTTTTATTATGAAAAACTTAATTCAGAAAAGAAATTGTCATGCTCGACATCTTGACATACTCTTTCAAAAACAAAAAAAAACAATTAGTTACATTAAAACTCCTTGGAGAATTCTAAAATGCACGATCAAAAAAGCATAAATAGAGAAAAAATGAAAAAAATTTCCTGTTTTCTTCCTGAAAATAGAAATCATCAACAAGGAGGTGCTAAATAAAAAATGATGTTATTTATAAAAGATTAGGCCTCAGGCTGTGCTCCCATGCATTTATCTTGATTTCGATAATTCTGATGAAAAATTAGTTTTTTTTGCGGGGGAAGAAAGGGAACCTTAAGCGAGTAATTTTAATTGCAAATATATCTAATAAACGAAATTTCTCAAGTAATTATTTGAGCGTTTTTGTCGAAAGTTAGTAGACAACTGTATATACTCTATAAGATTAATGACTCATTTAATATTATTGAAGCGAAGATTACTGTAACACTTCGAAAAATATCACCCAAGAGTAGAGCAATTTTTCAACACGAAATAGCTTTAAATCCATTGATAATTTGTAATTATATAGTAGATGACATTTTTGGAAATCATAAATCTCAAATCTCGATTAACTGCAAAGATTTGGGAACCGGAATGATGAACAAGGAAACGATAAGAGCGAGGAAAGTTCAACACGCAAGAAAATGAAGATGAATACGATGTCTATTGAAAGGGTGTGGATGTGGATGTTGCAGTTGTAACCGGCCGAGAATCTCGAGCTAGTCCCCATCCGGTGATCGATCGCTTTGTTGGGTATTATTAATTGATTAATGAAAATGAATTTAAAAAATTAACCATTTTCTTTTTGCACTTAGGTTGTTACAAATCTCAAGGAAAAAATATCATGCTATCGTCGTTTATATCTGTTAAATCGCTCAAAAATAAATATGTGATATTTCTATATATAGCAGGAAAAAAACCACGAGTCATTTACCCATCAACTAATAGCGAAAATTTCAAATCTTGAATTTTATTACTCAGCCGTTCCAAAAAAATATAAGGTTTCTTTTCGAACGATGATTTAAGACTAAATTTTACCTTTACTAAAACGTACATGATATAAGTTTAGCTCAACTAACACACTTTTGATTGTGCTTTTTAACAAAAAGTGAAATCTATTTCGATTAAAGAAATAAAACATCAAGTTTTATTAGAGAAAAATAGCATATCTATAGAATATTGTCCAACAGATTATAACTCTAATGGATGTTAGTTTTCTGTGGACATGCATCTAAACTCAATTATAGAATTTCAATATTTCAAATTTATCTCATTGATTATAAACTAAGTCAATAAAATGTCACGCAGTAAAAATAGAAAGATGTCTGTCGTGGACAATTATAAATGGAAACCGACAGTGGGAAATGATATAGGCATTAATTGAAAATGAGATTTTTCAAGATTGAATTAGTAATTTATACACTTTAATCAGACACAAGTTTTTTGATAAAAAAATAATTTTTGTATGAGAAATAAAAAGAGTAAGACAATAAATCATATATAGTCTGAAACGAGAACTGCTGCTCTATCGATTTATAAGAAAAGTTTTCAACTTGAAAAAATAATTATTTGTTAGATCTATAAATTTTGTTGTTGTGTGTAATTTATTTACGATCTTTAGTCAGACTACATGTGATTATGTTAGATAGATACATTTACGTCGCATAGAACAATAGGTATATATATATATGTCAGATATTCTGGGAAACAGGGAATATACCAATAGATAAGATAGTACAGTTAGAAAAATACATGAGTCATTACATCAAAACAAGAGACAAAGTAAAGAAAAATAAGAACAGAACACACGAGGAAAAATACCTGACTGAACGAAAGAAAAGATTTAGCTATAGTTAACAACATATAAATATATCGAAGGAAAGAGAATGGATATATATGGATAATGCGTAAAGCATATTTGTCTTATACCACGTCTTACTTGCATACCATCATACTATTCTTTTTATGCCAGTGTGGGAACTATGGCAAGTAACATCCGCCGTTTAAGCTTGTATTGAGCCTACAGACATGTCTCAGTGACATTAACAAAAATCTGAGAAGGTTCGCCCCAATTGATCTTTGTCGCCGAGGTATGATCGGTTTGATAAATTTTCGATTTAATTGTCAGTAGTTTCCAAAAACTCAAATAATAAAATTTTGATCGAAGATTTTGTCTACAGATAGATAGATTGAATGATACTTAAACTATTCCGTAAATTTCAGTGAAATAGAATGCTTCTTCGTTAAGACATTGAATTTCTTCTAATAGTCCTTTGCTAGAGATGTGTAACAAAAATCGAGGTCACTAGAAAATCCAATAACTCAACGAATAAACATCTTTGTTGGCTGAAACTTTTAGGATATTCTAAGAGTCATTAGAACTATCGATAGGCAAAATTTTGGATCAATAATTTGCTATTCAATCTTTCTGGAATTTACTAAAAATGAGTCAAAAATCCAGTAAACAGGTCATAACTTGACACTTAAGGCTAATTAGAACGAACATTTTGAGGCTTTTCTATTCTCGCTGAAATCTGTCTGTCAGTTTAATATGAGCTCAGACAGCGGGTATCACTTGAAGTAGTTTTCTCGTCAACATTTTCCGAAAAGATATCTTCAGTTAAGTTGGTCACGACTCATTCTCACTAATCCGACATCGACGAAACTTTGAGAGAATGTTCTTCTATATCTAGGACATATATCCGGTTAGTGCAAAAATGGGCAAATCCTTCTGAACTGAAACACAAACTTTTTTTGCGATTTATTTGTCACAGAAGCACATTGAAGAAAAAAAAAATGAAGACATTTGGAATTAGTGTGAAAACATGCATCGAATGACATTCCATTTGTCAATTATTTAAACACAAGTTTTTTCACATTAGTGTAAGGTAAGAGTCTCCCTCAGGGATTTTCTATCGTTAATGGTCCTTTTTTTATGAGTCTTATCTTTGAGTACAAGAAGCTAATATGTGTATGAGAAAAATTCGTTTTGACAGAAAATAAGTCATGTCGATGTGCTTGATAGAAGTTAACCAGCATAGAACGATTCAATGAACCATTTAGTTTTATAACCGATCGAGCGGGAATTGAAAAACAATCCAAATTCATTCAGTTTTGGTTGTTTGATTGACTCTAATACTTAGTCCAACTAGGTTGTTGAAATTCCTCTTTAGATATTTTCTAGTAATATTCTCCCACTTCGATGTTCTACTCGACAAAAAAATGTCATATAACGTAATTAAGTTAATAAGGCCATTTTTTGCTTCATTTAGGCAAAAACGACCTACATATTTTGGGTGCATATCTAATCGTCTCTTCATTCCCATCTACATTCACATTCATTACCTTTCTTTTTTTTTGTGTGCGTGCTGAACTTTTTTCGTGCTTATCGTTTCCGTGCTCATCGTTCATCAACTCACAGATTTATGGAATCGGCATACAAACTTTCGATAATTAATTTTTTTTACTTTTTTATTAATTAAAGAAAGCACATCTTGTTTCTTTAACAAAACATTGAATACTCATTGTTGTCAATTAGAAAAAAAACTATTCTCTTTTAGTAGATTCAACATTAACTACAAAATTGTCACCACCATCTACCATATCAACTTCATCACGTCGTCAATCCGGATCACTTCAGATAAGACTTCGTAGTCCGCCCATAGGTCGTCGTTTATTCAATGGTAGTAATATTCCATCGCCAACAATATCTCCATCAGAAAATTTTTCTTCACCATCAAAATCCTCATCACTTAATGATACACCACAAACACCTGAACCACCACCTATTCCACCTCATTTTCTTCAGTTAAATACAACAACTAACCATCGTGCAGATCAATTTATTCATTCAGATGAAATAACAAGTAAAACAAAATGTAATTATAGTCAATCAAGAAATTTAAGACAAAAAGAATCAAAATTATCAAAACATATTCGTTCAGATTCTGCTGATAGTTATTCAATTTCATCTTTAACAAATCATCATCAGCAACAACAATTTTCAAATGAACAAGAAGCTTATTCGGATTAAACAAAACAAAACATCTATGTATTATTTTTTCGGTGCTAGCTTTCGATTATTTATAATTATATCAAAGTAAAATATATCTCAAAAAGAAATAAATGAACAGTAATGATTTTTGTTTTTAAGCAAAATAATTATATTGCCGTCCTTTGTTAATATTTGTTTTTTGTTGTTGTTTTATGTTTTGTTTTATTCGGTGAACAAGTCGCTTCTTTTTCTTTTTTTAAATTTGTATATGTGTTTCTGTTTTCTTTTTTCATTGAATATAAACAAAATGAATATGAATATATGTTTTATTTGTAGATAATATTCAATGGGTAATTGTACAAATTGTGTTCAGCAACAACAACAACAACAACAACAACAATCTCAACAAACAACAAGTTTAACATCTTCATCATCATTTGATAATATTTCACGTACATTTCGTCGAAATTTATTGTCAAATCGTTTTCGAACAATACGTACATTTCAACCGTATAATTTAAATGCACTTATTGATGAAACTCTTTCAATTATTCGAACTGTTGTTGATGCAGATCAAGAACTACCACATGCTATGATTGTTGTATCACGTATTGCTAATCGTGAAGATCGATGGTTAGATGTTATGATTGCATTAATTGAACGTATACCTATTCAAGATCCATTAGGTGCAACTGTTATTGCATTATTACTTGATGAATGTTCATTACCATCAAAAGAATTATTACAACAATTAATTAGGCGTGTATGTTCAGATAATCGTTCAAGAATAATATTACTTGAATCGATTATTGATGAATATATTAAAGAACATTGTCAACAATTACAAAAATCAACGATTGAGACACATATTAATAAAGAAGAAAAAAATGATATTAATGAATCAACACTGATGGTAATGAAACAAGCATATGAAATTATTGATGAACAAGAACACGAAAAGTAAATTTATTTATTATGAAACAGAGATAAAATTTACACTAACTTTCATTTGAAAGATAACTAAAGCTTAAAAAGAATTGAATCTTAAATCTACTTATTCATTCCATAGTCTTAAAGTATGTGATGAAGTTAAGTTGACGACAAAACTGTACAAAAAAACTTTTATCTTCATTTACGAGAGAAGTTCTTCAACAAATAAATTACTTTTCAATCAAGGCTAGGGAGTTGTGGGTCGACACTCTGCTTTTTTTCTATCAATATCTGGCAGCCTTTATCTACATAAACAAGTAAAAGACCAAGGCTTTCACTATTTATTGGCTACTCTTGAAAAAAAAAACGACATAAAGTAATTTCTTTTTGTTCACTTACCTATCTGGAAAGCTGCGAAGATACTGCACTTGTACGGTATTTTTTAAATGAATGCAGAAATATCAACAAATTTTGGTTTTCGAATTTCACCTTGAAACTTTGGATACAGACACACCTTAACGAGAATAGTTTTCCTGTGAATGCTTCATATCTTATCGCTGTTCCTATTCAAAGATCTAGCTATGGTAATAGCGTACATTTTAGATTAATTATATAAACCAGAAGACTTGAAATTTTCATATCACGGCATTCATTGAAAAAAAAAACACCGTAAAGGTGTAGTATCTTCGCAGCAATAAGCTAAGGACACAAAATCTTGTCAGAATATTCGTATACCATTTAGATCTAAATAATGCACACAGTCTCGACTCAAAAGCAATTAATCAGCTGAAGGACTTCTCTTGCTAAGATATTCTGATAGTAGCAGATGTCAATAAAAATTTCCATTCGATCGCTGAGAAACATCTAACAAAGAAAGTCTTCGAACTGATTAATCACTTTTAAGTTAGGACTATATGCATCATATAGATTCTAATAAGCTATGAACATCTTGAAAAGGATTCGAGCCCATATATTTTTACTATTGAGACAGTGTATCTTGAAACATTGGACAAAGATAAATCTTAACAAGAATCGTTTATTGTGAAAGTTTCAGGTCTTTTGATTTACTACAATCCTAAAATAAGATCAGTGAATCTATATGATACTTTTTATCTAAAGTCGATCGAATGTTCGGTCATGTTTTGTCCATTCTTTTTAGACATTAGAAATATGGAAGACTAGACTTTTCTTTTATTTCGATTCTTGTTCACAATACTGAAATCAAAATTGTTGTCAGATACTTCTATTTTTAATATAAATTAACCTGATGATAATAGTTGATTTGTTTTAATTTCAATAATTGATTGAACAAATTATTATTTTGTTTTTCTTTCAGGACTAACAAGACATCATCATCGTTTTCTAATCTTTGTTCATCAAAACGTTCAACATCTTCTATAAAAATAAATAATACTTCTAATACACAAAATCAACGAAAGCTTGATAATGTTTTACAGCGTGAACGTAATACATTAGTTTTACTAGGTTGTCTAGCTGAAAAACTCGGTGAGTTTTTTTTGTTATTTTCATGCTAAATATCCATTCGATAATCATAATTATTTTTAGTCGGTCCAATGAGTGCATCGATGTTAAATACAGTAGCACTTGAATTTATTATTGATCGAGTTTATCTAGGCATATATAATTACAGTCAATTAACATCATTAGATTGTGATGATACAAATTATTTATCAAATTATTCATCTGCATTAAAAATTATATTATCTGCATTAATTGCAATTGAAAAATTTTCTCATTCATTAGAATCAAAACATATTCTATTACAATCATTAACAATTGAAAATGAACAATCAAAAATGAATGTTTTAGAATATTATGAACCATGGGCTATATCAAATAATTGTCTTAAAAGACAAATTGGTAAGAAGATGAAATTTTAAGCAAAAACAGAAAAGAAAACGAATTTTTTATTTTTATTTTTTTGCTTAAGGTTTTTATGCTCAATGGTTACTTGATAATGTATTTATTCTTGATTATCGTCGACCATCATATGAAATCATTGATCATCGTTATATAAATGTTATGCTTAATGATAAAGATGTTAGTGAATATTTAAAAATTGGTCCTGATGGTCTTGAAGCTCGTAGTGATACGGTTTCATTTGAAAGTGTTCGATGTACATTTCATGTTAATTCAGGTGTGTGGTATTATGAAGTACTTATTGTTACTGATGGTGTTATGCAAATTGGATGGGCAACAAAACAATCAAAATTTATGAATCATGAAGGTTATGGTATTGGTGATGATCAATATTCTATAGCATATGATGGTTGTAGAAATTTAATATGGTTTGGAGCTAAATCTATACCGCATAATAATCCAGCTTGGAAACCTGGTGATATTGTTGGTAAGGATTTTTTTAGCCAATATGATTATGTTTAATTCATAGAAAGAATTCTATCTCACAATTTGTGGATAAAAGGATATTTCTGACTGTTTCATATTATATAGAATGATAAGTTAGATTGTGAAATATCGTTTAATTTTCATATTTCGTTTTTTTCATGTAGATTTCACATATGAACAAATGAAATAATATCGTTTGTAAAAATGAATTTCCAAAGAGAAACTAATAACTCGGTGACATTTTCTAGTACCTGATAATTCAATTTTCTTATATACAATAAGTGATACTAATTTTCTCATAATTACTGAGTGAGTTTCTTCATACGATAAGATTAAAGTACTTCGATACCATCCATAAAGATCATCTGATTAAAAAGCACTTTTTTCACTCCTTCCCAACTTCAAGACGTCTCGTTTTAGAAAAGGCTTTAGAAAGAACCTTATCTTTCTTGTCGTATGAAGTCATACTTTATCCACTAAGTTTGTCTAAAGAAGAAGTAAAAGGTAAGTACTCTAACAAAACCCGACGAGTTGCAGTACTCTGTCTCGACACATTTTTATCGGATATGGATCTCGTCCGATAATCAGAATCTACAAAAGAATATATCTTGTGATAGTTCCCGATCTTGTGGAATCCGAGAGTTTTTTTAATAGGACCTAACGAAAGAAATACCTGAATTGATATCCGCCATTTGAGCTCATAATAAGTTCACAAGAAAGTCTCGGTAAGATTAGAAAAATCTTAAAAGTACTCGTACTCAGAGGGATCTGGAGCCGAATTCTGTTCGTTTTACTGAAATTTCTCCCCTAAACAGATCGAATTAATAGTAGGATATACAGAAAGTTTTAGCCGAAACGAATGTTTCTTTGTCGATGTATTGAATTTTCAAGTAAATTCGATTTTTGTGGGCAAAGACCTTTTTTAAAATTTAATATCCCAAAAAGGAAATATTCTTTTCGACTAAAACTTCCAGGACACTCTACTAGTCATTCGATCTGTTTATCAGTGAAATTTTAGATTGAAATGCCGTTATTTGATTTTTCGGCAAATATCTTATGGTGGATCGAAAGTTCAGTAAAATGGTCATAAATTGACTGTCAAACGGCGGGTATTTGTTTGGGTAGTTTCCTGGTATATAAATTTGCGAGACTATTAACAATAGCATAGTTGAGAATGTTGTCGCTCTGCAAACTGTTCTACCATTTATTTTCAGATATATCGAACCCTTTTTTCTTGTTCATGACTTTAATATATAGATGGCCTCCTTCTAATTAGCATAATTGTTCATGTTCTGTGTATGTTTAAAAGTCTTTAACCCCGATGTGTTCTTATGACATTTTTCAATCTTTTGGAATAGAGAAAACAATCAGTCGAGGCTTTCACTGTGAAGTAAACAACTGATCTTGTTTCCTTTATATAAAAAACTGCATCAATATGTATTTATTGTACATTTAAATTGTATAGAAATTGAACATAATTATTGAATCAGAGATGCAACCTTGATGTTCCTTAGTATGTCCTTTAATCGAATTATTTTATGCTTGTTTCTAATTCTACATAAATATGTTGTTTTTTCAGTGAATATGAATACTTTTCTTTGCTATATTTGAAGTAATCAAATATTTTGTTTAGGTTGTTTAATTGATTTTGATCGACGTGAAGTTATATTTTCATTAAATGGTCGTGCACTTGATCCACTACGTAAATTATTTTCATCCACATGTGGTCCTATAACGGATGGTTATTTTGCAGCAGCAAGTTTTATGTCATATCAACATTGTCGTTTTAATTTTGGTTCAATGCCATTTCGTTATCCTCCAACAACAGTACAATCATATAAAACATTCAATGAATATGGTCATTTATCTGATGATGAAAAACTTATTTTACCAAAGTATAAAAAATTAGAATTATTACGTTCAATTAAAATAAGTGAACAAGATTGTATATTATGTGTTGATGATCAAGCTAATATTATGCTTAAACCATGTCAACATACTGGTTTTTGTGAACAATGTGCTTTCAAATTAGATCTATGTCCTATATGTCGATCAGAAGTTCAAGAACGATCTAAAATAACAAATTAATTTATTTTTATTTTTCTCTTTCTATGTATATTTGAACAGTTTTAACGCATTCCAAATAAGAACTAGCATTAATCTCTTTTTTTTTTCATTTTGACCTAGTCGTTTGTATTTAAACATTAAGCATCGTTTAGTATGTAAATGTAAATTGTCCTTTTCATTTTCTTTTTTCGGTTTTTTCGTTTTTTTTTTATAAATGTTTACAATATAATATAATTGAATGATACTAATTTAGTATCATTAACAGTAGTTATTCTATTTCCAAGCTTAAAAAAAAAATTTTTTTTTGATGAATTAAAATATTTTTCTTTTGTTTTTTTTTTCGAATAAAGATGTTCTCTAAATAATTGTATTGATACTTGTTTTTTTGACCATCTACAGAACTTAAATACTATGAATAAAGAAAAGAAAGTAATGCTATTAGGACATGTAATGAGAATGAATTATGATATTTCGTTGATGCACTAATATTGATAACAATCAATTCAATCAAATTATTTTTTTATTACCAGAAACATCCCGAAGATGTCAGGACTGGGAAGTGCATAATACCAACCTACTAACATAGATTCCAGACAAATCAAGAAATAAAAAAAAACGAAAGAAATGATAATGCCATTTTTTTTTCGTTTACTAACTATAAATGACAAATCATCTAACTATAGCAACACACTTATAACGTCATTATAATATCGTTCATTAAGATTTCTCTATGATGTTGAATAAAAATTGTTTTGCTCTTGTATCTAAACCTGAGGGTTGGATATGGGGAATTTGGATGAGAAGAAGAACTACATCCGCACTGTATACCAGGGCTTGAAATGGGTCGGACGGACCGAACTTTATATCTTACTTCAAGGTATTAGTTGAATACCATAAAAATCTGATATTTAACTTCGAAGATAGATTTTATTCTGATTTGTCGTTAAAATTTCATACATGGATTTTGTACTCCGCAATTGATAACAATTAAACATTTCTTCATCTGCACAGAAGACCAAGTAAACTATCAACTACATTAAGTGGCATAATCGTGAAAACTTATGTTAGCAAATGATAGTCTTCAAGAAGTCGAAGTACCATCGAATGCATCTTGATCTTTCGGTTCAATGAGTAATTCGACTTGTCTCTCATACTGTTCTTTCAAGAATTAAAATTATCCGATCTTATTCAACGTACAGATCACTATGATAATGAACTTTTTACAGTATTGTAATGAATGACTACAACAACTGCTGAGTTTTATCATGTCGAGATCCGTTTTGAAAATTATCAGTTCTTTTTATATTTTTCTAATTACGATATTTTTCCTTCCGACTCTTCTACGGCTAATCGATGATTCAGATTATTTTTGTCATAGTTAACTAGATTTGGAAGAGAACTGTGCCCTTCTTGTTTTTTTGTGAATCGATGAGCAGAAAAAAAAAAACAATAAATTTCTGGGGAAAAATGAATATTTTTCAAGATTAAGGTGACCTTCTCGTTCAGGACACTCCTGCTTATTGTGGTTTCTTCTTGTGATTCTTGTCGAATTAATGACTTTTTTTCGAAGCTTTGTAAAATTAAGCAAGAAAACAAAAGACAGATGTACCCATGAAATTTTTCGCCGACATTGTGCGAATTTCTTTGAGCTCTCTTTTATTATTACATTCTCAAACATATCAAAATAATAGAATCGATATTGAAAGACCTTCTACAAATAATTCATACGTTCTTGTATTGAAGAAAAACAATTCAGTTATGCGAAGAATGAAGAACTGCACGTAAAAAGTATAAAATAAATTTTGATTCTCTCATGCAACATTATTTTCTCACATGTTTCTTTATTGATCGAGACTGATATTCACAGTACACACGCTAAACATCTAGATCTACTCTATGCTAGAATTTTAACTTTTAGTTTATTATCGTTAGAGAGACACAAATGATGTCAAAATGATAAACATTTTCGAATTTTTTTTTTGACGCATTTGCTTATATTTTGCTGCTGTCAACTTTCTTCAGTGTGGTAATTGGTTTTTCCAATTCTAATATGTTGTTAAATTGTTCACTTCTCAGTCTTTCCTTAATTATGCCCCATACATTCTAAATTAGCCAAATATCAGGAAATTTTGCACCATCTATTTCAAGAACAATACATTCGTCGATGTCTTTTTATGTAATTCTTTTGTATTCTTTGTTGTTTCTGCGTGTTACGATCATCAGAAACAAAGAGATCGTGTACTTTTTTTCCCATTCATAATGGTGTGGACAAATTACAGCACGGAAGAATTCTATGCAAAAAAATAATAAACATTACTCGTAGTAAGTAGGTGATTGAATAACTACAGGTTTTCTCAACCATGATGATTTCAAAAATTTTTATGATTTTGACATCACTTGGTTCTCTGTGATAATAATAAGCAAAACGCTGAAATTCTAGCATAGAGTAGATCTAGACTTCTAGTGTATGTACTGTGAATATCAGTCTCGGTCAATAAATGGTTTGTATTTAAAAATAAGAAAGAGGATCCTCCTCATTAGAGAGTCGCTCGTAGTACGTATAACATATATACATAAGTTGCGGTACGCGTTCGGTTTATGTACTGCACACGGACTGAGGTATTCTATTTATGTCGAACGCCTACCAATGCCGTACCGTTCGACGTGGGACATAAACCAAACAAAAGAAAAGTTTCAGCAACCGAGTGAGTGCGCGCTCTTTTTATCTCTCGTGTTGATTAAATCAAAAGAAAAACTAAGAAAATTTTTTATCGGACCGTTTTCAAAAATCGGAACTGAAAATGAGGAATTATCTTAATACTTCTGCACCTGAATCTTATTCATATGTTTTGGTATCCATGAAATTTACTTTTCCTGCTTTGAGCATGAATAATTGTAATTTAGAAAAAAAAAATGTAATTGAAATCCGACAAAATTGTGGAAAAGACGTAAAATTCTGGAGCTTTTATGCATTTTCTTGGCGACACGAGGTTGGCACTGAATTCACAACACGTGCATTTAGTAGAGCACGTCGAGATCGATCTGGGGAGATGCGTCTTGTTCTTGAAGTTCACTCCTGAGCGAATCATGACGAGTTTAATTGGAAAATTGACTCATTAAGTGCTAATTAGCGATTTTTCTGGTTACTGGGTACTGAGACAAGGTCAAAAAAGGTGTCCATCAGATAGAGCTCGTCGAGATCTGTGTTTGGAGAGGTTTGTCGCGTACTTGGACAGTTTTTGTGGGCGAATCGCGACAGGTTTTTTCGGATCTCTCTAGTTTTTTGGGTTTTTTTCAATGGTTTTTTGGGGCAGAGTTCGGTTTAGTTCAGTAAAGATAATGTGAATCTGATAGAGCACATCGAGTTCTACTTGGAGAGTTGCATGCCAGAGTTGGAGAGTACTGTATGGCGAATCCATTCACGAAATACTCGAATCTTGACCTAAGATATCTTACGTCAACTAATGTTAGATTTGCTATTAACATAGTACAATATATAGTTGTTTCATTCATTTTCTTACTTCGTTTTCATTTACTTTTTTTTTTCAATGACATTTAGTTTAACTAATTATCTTAAGGAGGAATACAAAAAAATGCAATCATCATCATCAGAAACATAAACAGGAGAAGAAAAGAAAAATATTGAAAATTCAAAATTAAATTTATCGCTTAAAAAAATGTGACCAATAAAATATAAATGTAATTTAAATGTTTGCAAGGTTTCTATTGATGTTGCTCTTGTTCTTCTTAACATCAAACGTGTGTTATATAAAATAAAAAATGTTGTTTTTCGTTTTATTTTACTTTCTTTCAGTCAGACCTTCACTTTATTGTTTGTCATCACGCTGTGAACAAAATGGCATTATCTCCAACGTCATGTCATTCGTCTAAACCATATGAACGTGAATATTATGAATATGAACGATCACCATATTCATTTGTACCTCCAACAGCTCTTATTTATCAAGCAACAGATCGAATTAAATCATTAGCAAAACCAAAAATACGTAAAGAAACAACCATACGAGAAGGTAAAACGAAATCATGAATTGAATTTTTTATTGAGAAAATGAATCATAATTGTAGGTTTTTCTCGTTATATAAGTAATCCAACATATTCAGGTGTTAGTAAAACTGCAACACGTGCTCAATGTTCATCACGTCTTAGTAATTTAGCTTTACCACCAGAACGACATGAATCCTATAAATTTGAATTACCTCTTCCAAGACCTGTACCACGTTCAGCACTCGGATATCAAGCAACAGAAAGAATCAATGAATTAGCTTTGCCGAAAAAACGATCCAGTGCTCGTTAGAATTATGAACCAATTCTATATTTTTTTCATTGGTTAATAAAGTTACCTATGATATAAGGGATGATCGGAAAGTCTTTAGGCAAAATATTTGCTTACTTTTGATCCGATAGAACATATTTTCGACGAGAATTTTGTGCTCTTTTTCACTATGGGATAGAGGATTCGTTCCAACTTTTATTCAAGAGTAGGGAAATAATCTATGAAAAGTCTAAAAATTGAATTTGGACGGAAAACTTTTGTATTTTCACTATTGCAATTTGAAAACTAAAAATCGGGATCGTTATTTAGATATCGACTTATAGATCAGAAGCTATCTTACAAAATGTATTAATTCAAGTTTTTTCTATTTTTCGAGAAGACATCTCGACTTTTATTTTTTCTAAATACCCGTTTTTTTTAAAAACCGGCAATCATTTTAGGTTGAAATGAGCTCTTGAAAACATGCTGTAATAGCAGCTACTGTTTAGTTCAATATCGTGTTTTGTCGAGAAATGTCTGATCTACAAAACGATCGACTCTAATGATTTTTAGCATGTTAGAAAAGGGACTTATAGAATAAAAAAATATCTATTGACTTATCATTTTCAGGTTTTTCAAAAACTTTCTCAATACTCTTGAATAAACAATAGACATAACATTTCTAAGGCTATAGTTAAATTCTGATCGTGAACTATAGTTTGTTGACTCGTTTGAAAACCTTTCAAGCAGGCCAAAATGAAATAAAAATAACAATAACTCGAGAAAAAAGATTTAAGAGCACGAACCGTTCTCGAGTTTTCATCTACACTATGAACCCTAACGTAGCATATCAGTTAGAAAGATTCCTGCATAAGATTTTGAACAGCAAATTTTAGATTATATAATTCGTATTTTCGAGAAAAGACTAATTTATACTAAAGTCTGTTTTTTTAATACAAAATAAAATGATTATTTCTTCCGTTTTTTATTGTCAAAGTGAATCTTAAGAATCGTTTGTTAATTCATCTTCGTCTATTTTTATTTGAAGTTTTTGCTTTTAGTCACAATCATATTTAGATATTGACAGAAATGATTCTGGCCCCGAAACCAGAACTGAAAGTATTTAATTCGGGGTGACATCTTTTAACCTTCTCAGAATGGGTGGTAAACCATATGTATCATAGCCTTCTTTTTAACACCGAAAGATACTATGTACTGATGATTAGAAATAGTTGTATAAACGTTAGAGTATGCCCATTATAGTGATATACATGTAATGTAGCTTGCTTGATCATATCCCATTTTCTATTCTGTTAACCTGTCATACTGTATCTTGTTGATTTTCTTCTCTCTCACACATGCATGTGAAGGTGTGATGTAGGTGTGGCGTATACATGTGCGTGAAGAGAAGCCACTCACTCACACCAGATACCAATACACAGATTGCAATGTAGGCTTATATATGTTAAATTGTTTTCGAGACTATCATACTGTCATTTCTTTGTTTCTTGTTCAAAAAAATACAATCCCGTTCTGCAAGAGTTAAGGTTGTGTAAGACTTTCGTTGAGTGTCATATTCTCACGACTCATGTATGCTAAAAGTTTATGTGAAAATTATTGAGTAACGATCACTTCAATATTTGACGTTACAATTTTGATAGTAAAGTTAATTCTTTTTTTTTATAAACAACAGAAGGGTGCCGAATACACAAAGTATTAGTGAATTTTAAAAAGTAGTGAATCTTCAAGAGGAAAGATATTAGAAGTCATGCAAGATGTTTCGAGCACATTGACATTACTAGAAAATAATAAAACATTTTTTCGCTAGTACAATCAAATTTTTTTTCTGGTCAGAATCGGCATCAGAAACGATTAGTCTCGTTCATCACCAGTCACTTCGAAAACTTGTTTCTTTTTGAACTATTCTTGAAAATATTAGTATAATATATTTATTTATTTGAGATAGTTAAATTCCAATAACATATTAATTAAATATCACAATATAAATAAAAATAACATTCTATTTTTCATACACAAAAACAAAATGTTTGATTAACCTGACTAGTCATACATGAAAAACAAACGTATAGAAGTATATTGTTCTTTTCTCAAGCTACTAATGGTGTTCTTTCATCATCTTCAGTATCATCTATACAATTATTACATGGCAAAGAATTAGTCTGTGTGTCTACAATCATTTCATGACGATTTCCACCAATATTCGATATACTTAATGTCATTACAACTGTTAATATAGCAACTGCACCAGGTATAAATGATAATATTTGTCTATAATATAATTCACATCTCTCTGTTGCATCAGCTTTGCACGGATTAAATTGTTGTATTAAAGCAATAACTATACCATTAGCAAGTTTATCTGCAAATGACATTATACCGTAGACAAATGCTCCACATTCGGTATTTAAACCAATTAAATCAGACGCAAGAGAAAATGAACATATGTTTGTTGTTGATATTCCAATACCAAGTAAAACACAAGCAATTGTTAATGTTACTTCAATTCTAATAAAAGGTTTTATTTGAAAAATAAACCAAAATAATACTGTACTAGCTAATACAAACACAAGACCAATAGTCATTGTAACTTTTCGACCTAATCGTTTATTTATTGCACGCATAGGAAATGATGCAACTAAACCACTAACATAGGAACATAATGGAGCAATAGCAACATATACTCGATTAAGTGTTGAGATTGTATCAATTATATACAATGGTAGAAACACCTAAAACAAAAATTTGTAATTATATGTAAAACATAATAAAACTGACTTTTTTTTTTCGTCAACTAATAGAGGTTACTAATATACGAATGCGTTACTAATAGAGATATACAAAACTAGCATCAAAAGGTCATTACAATTAGAACCATAAGAGAGGAAGCTATCGGAAACTTAGTTCCATCCATGTTTAGTCACGATATGCATGAATAATGACTTTAATCTTAACATATTCCTGCAGTCTTATTTGAATTCGTATCGGTTTCCTATTGATGCAATATATAGAAAACATAAGAACAAATTTTGACTCATTATATATGCCTTAAAGGCATTAAATAAAGTACGTTTGATATTTTCAGTCAGTCAAATCTGATTGTTGCTGATGTGAGAATGTAGCTTAAAATATATGCGAATGTTGATTATGTAATATAATATTTGAAATATAATATGATAAAATTTAGGATAACTATAAAATACAAATATATTTCCATTCTATTGCTTTTTCGTAAAACCAAGTTTATCCTTGAAGTATTATATTTTATTAATAAACTGATATTCAATTTATCTATAACTTTGTTTCATCTGCTTGAAATCTATACGCATCGTAAATAGACTCCTATTTCATAAGTATACTAAACTTACGATCTCTGTAAGGGTCTATGAATTAAACTACTTCTTTCTAAAGATTGACAATTGATCTTGTTTTTTTTTAAATTCTGTATATCCTTTTTTCTTTCTTTTTACCTGTGTAACATTAAGAATAACACGTGTAAACATCCAAATAAGCGCACATTGATAAAATTCTTTTTCACGTAAAAATTTTTTCCATGTCATTCGTTTTAATCTTCCACTAGAAGTTAAAGATAATTGTAAACGATATTCTGTTTCTTCAGCTGGTACATCTGATTCTTTTAAGCCAACATGAAAAAAAATCATACAAAGAAGACCAATACCAACAACAGTAAATGTTAATGTACGAAATATATGTGCATCAGCTGGTGTTATATCTGTTTTATCAGAACCAGTATGAACACCTAATAAAACACTTGCTATTGCATAAACAAATATATTTGATGCTACTGTCCAAGCATAACGAAATGAATTAAGTGCAACACGTTCACCATCTTTATGCGTTAATTCATTAATCATTGCTCTAAACAAAACCAAAGCTCAATCATTTTTTTCCTATAAATACAAATCAAATACTTACAAATGTGTAATTTGTGAGCATGACCAACCAAATTGAAAGATAATAATAAACATTGCATAATAGAAAAATTGTGCCCATAAATCACTATTTGCACATCCAACACATAAATTAAAACAAAATGGAAATGAACTCAGTACACTGATAACACCAATAAGATGCCAAGTTTTTCTTCGACCATAACCAAATAAACCAGTACGTACTCGATCAGATTCAAAACCAACAAATGTTGTTGCTAAAGCATCAGCTACTTGTCCAATTAAAAGTAAATAACCTGCAGATGCATTCGTAAAATTCACAATACGATGATAGAAAACTAATAAATAAGAAAACCACATTGATGCTGTTAGATCATTAAGAACATGACCAACGCTATAAGCAAATTTTGCTCGTTTTGAAACAACATCTGGTTGTGATACAACCGGTTCCATAAGAATTCACAAGATTAATATAACTAAAATGAAATCAACAACTTTGTTATGTTATTTTAAAGAAACACACACACAGATAATTATCTTAAGAATTTTGTCATTCGTATTCTACTTGTTTTTCTATAGTTTACCTTGTATTTAAAACAAAGAAGTCAAACACAGATATGTAAGAGAAGACAATGTAAGGAAGACAAAAAAAAAGATAAAAAGTAATAGTTGCCGTTTGAAAAAAATTGAAGTTTTGATAAGAATCCAACATGAGTTCAAGTGCATTTATATAATGTAAATGTAGAATTCTGACGAATTGCAAACAATGGCAAAAAAAAAGATGCATTATCATTAATTCAAAAGAATAATTCTTTTAGTATTTGATTTTTATTCAATAATTCATCACATAGATAAAAATCGACTTCGACTCATTTTATTTAGTTGCATTAAAAATTGTTGATAAATCAACGAATATTATTTACTAACCTATTTTACTGTCTCCATTTTTATACAATCTATAAAAATACCTGTTAACATAGTTCTTGTGAAACATCAAATAACTACAGTTATCAAGAGAAAGATTTGTTTAACAAATTAATTCAAGTCAAAATTATATATATACTAATTAGTTAGATACTTCGTTTGCCTCATCGAGGAATATTATATCAATATTATCCAAGCATTTTTTTGGTTGGCCTTTAAAGTTATGATTCATTTTGAGTATTTTGAAAAATATTTAATAAATGTCATTTATAAGGCAGTGTCTGCCATGAATAATAATAGGTCATTGTTAACGTGTCTGTGACAGATTTGAAGGAAGCAAACATTTCACTCCATACTCAGACATATCTTTTTGTTCGTGTTTAGCAGAAAGTGTAACAACAACTTTATCTTATCATTTAATAGCAAACAAAACAAGACAAATGCACAAACAATACTGTAGAATATCAACGAAAAATAAAAAGCAACTATGTCAATATGAATATATTTAAATGACGAAAAAAAAAGCTAAGAATACTTTGATTGAATCTTATTTTTCAGTTATTCTTATCCAATATAAACATATGATTTAATCATTACTGGATATGAATTAAGCTTTTGTATATCGACTAACAACTAATATCAGAAAGTATATTTCAACAATTGACAACTAAATATGTTCTTTTTTTTTTGAATTTGTCAAATTAGTATGCTGTACAAATGCCGCAAAGGAAAATAGAGCGTAGTTCTGGTCATCTCTTTATCTAGACCAATCACAACGACATGACTGTTTTCATAACTTTTCTAGACTTCACATTTTTCCCTTGCGATATTTCCTTTTTCGACCTTTCTACTGTCAACCACCAGATGTACTTCGTATTATCGTACGATGAGACAGATCATATAAATATTCACAGATAAGACTTTAAATAAACAGAACACAACAATGATTTGATGCATAATAAAATTGACTCATTCAGGTCATACAACAGATTTATGTATTCATCATGTTATGATTACGAGACAAAAAAATTCGCAATGTCATTGCATAGAATATTATTTGAATATGACTTATTAGAAAAGTAATTTCTCAAACTAATGTTGCAAAGACGAAGTATTTGAATGTTTAACAGAAATACTAATTCTTTTTATGATTGAATTCATTATCACATCAATGATTTATTCATATTATTATTGCCGACATATTAATTCTATCATCCACCGTATATTGAATTCGGTTAATATCTTCTTTTACTTTATGGTTATTGAATACTTTTAATTTTGCCATAGAAAATATTTTCTCTCAATCATTATTCAGAAGAAAATTGGTAAGTATTATCTTGTTATGTTTATTTGTCTAATAACAATAATAATAATAATAATAATCTTTTTCTTTTCGTATTTCGTTGTTTAAATAAAGAAAGGATAAGTATTGCTTTTTATATCGAAAGAAAACCTTCAAACAAAGAACATCTAGAACAATGCATTCTTTTTTATTTCAATAAATGCTTAATTATGTTTGATAAATGCCTATCTATTGATGCGCATGAAAGTGTAAATGAATAGAGTTTTTGATATTCATACAATGACATCACAGGAAAATGTCAAGTGTAACAAAGTAGAACAGTTTACTTGCTAACCTGCAAAAAGAACATTCAAAAAATGTTTTTGATTGATACATATATATGAGCAAAGAAAATAAATTGAAATTATAATCGTATTAAAATTTCTAATTATGTTTGTTCATTGATAAAAGTTATTATTTTACAATGTTGACTTTCTTCGAATTGATTCAAATATATTGAATGAAACTAATTTTTTTTCACATGTTTATTGCAGTAATCTCAAAATTATTTTAAAACGAAAATCAAATGACCGGGACAGTTTTTTTCTATAAATAATTATATATATATATCTATATGTACACATATGCACAAAGAGACTGTCTCCTTATCGTTAATTCATTAGTCGCGATTGAAGAAGATCAAACAAAAGAGATAAAAATATTAAAAAAAAAAAAAGAAAAGAATGACGAAAATACTGTTTCTACAATAATTAAGTTAATCGAATTCTAATCAATAAATGTCCAAAGTTCAATACTTGCAATAATAAAATCTTCTTTTGATGATAATCGTATATTATTAAATGTTTTACTTGGACATGTTCGACCATGATATAAATCGGCATCAAGCCATAAACCATAAGTACCTCTGAAATTAAATATTAAAACAAAATAATTAGTCGAAAAAAGAAAACATAAAAAAAATGTATTATTAAACATACTCTCCACTTCCAATGCCAAGTGCTTTAACATCACCTTTGATGAAAAATTGATTGTTTCCAGTCCAATGAAATGCCTAAAGGATAATATTAATATTTCATTTACTATTTCACCCAATAATAGAATACAAAAATTTTCTATGCTATTAAAAGCAATATTACATCCTTCCGCACTAGTAGAAGAATCTAATAATTTCAAATATTTAAATATATTTTCTTTATTAATAATATTCTAATAGTGAATATTTTCTTTTTAACAAAACAAAACAAAAAACTAATTGTTCAATTTCCTCTAAAAACAAAATGTTCGTTGGCAAGAAACCATGAATTTTTGTTTTTTTTGTCGATCTCCTTTTTTTTTTTATGAAGCGTCTCGAAGTTGTCTAACGATAATTCGTTCATTTTATTTCTTACAGGCAATCAAGTCTAGTATACTGTAAAAAGCATAATTCAATTGAGAAAAATAGATAAGTCTAGCAATAATATTTTCAGAAATAATTTATCTGAAATGCTTCGTTTGTTTTTCTATTTTGATTTAATATGAAATTGAACAGATTGAAAAAAGAAAAACAACAAAAGAAAAAACATTATTTATTTCTTATTATTCTATTTGTCTATAACATATTTAATTAGTATTCTAATATTGACTTACACGAAATTGTGGATGAAATGTAAAAAGAAATGTTTCTCCAGTACCATAAAAACCTTCACTAACCATTAATTGTTGTGATACATAGGCGCCAAATATCTAATAAACAAATAAAAATTTTACCATCAACAAAAACAAAACAAAATAGATTTTTATATTTTATTTACATTTTGTTCAATATCTTTTACAATAAGTAATGATGGTGAATCTTGATCAACTGTCATTGATCGACGATAAAGTTGATTTAAACTAAACCCATCTGTTTCTGTACTAAATACTATTCGCCAACAAAGACCATGCACACGTGGTGGTAATTCATGTAAAATCTTAACATAAAAATTTAATATTTTTTTATTTTGCAAAAGAAAAATGATTTGTTTTGTTCGTTATTTTTTGTATTCATACATGTTTTGATTTTTCTTCATCAATAACCGTCGATGGTTGAAGCAGTTTTGGTGGTGGAATATTAAGATCAGGTGTTTGTGTATTATTTGTCTGAGTTGCATTAATACGTCGATAAATTTCATCAACACTGATGATCTAAATGAATAATTAATTAATTTTATTTTTATTATTATTTCGTTCTTTATTATTTCTTTTCGGATAAGTTTAAATTGTATCTATTTTTTATGGTCATACCCCATCAGAAGAATTTTGTCTATCGAATGAAAATTGATCAGTAAATGATGATGATAAAAGACTTTTAGCACGTTTTCTTAAGCGTGCTAATTTTTGTTGATGATGAGGAATTTGATCAAGAAGAATCTTTTTTGAATCTGATAAACGCGTTGCTAATGAATGAAGTGTAGGACGACGTGAACGTGTTGGTGATGATGGTGATGATTCAGTAGAGGAAGATGAAGTATTCGATAATGCTTTAGATAGTGTTCGAATCATTGCTGTATTTCTTATTCGTTTGTTATATTAATATAGTTATAAAGCTACTAATAGTGAAGAGAGAATATGTGAAAGAAAAGATGCTTCTGTTTCTCTCCTCTTTACTATATGTTTCCACCAATCCTGAAAGTAGAAGTAGTGAGTTCTTTTTTTATCTTGCTGTCACGTCTTCATTGACAAACTACACTATAAAGAACATATAATCGTGTTGAAAAAGAAAAAGAACTAAGACAAGAATTGTGTTAGACATGGATAGGATTTGAAATGTTATGCAAAATTATTGTTGTCAGGGCCAATTTTTTTCCATTTTATTATCGAAAATATTGAAAAAAACATGTTTTTGATAGGATATATATCATAACCAGATAGTAGACATATGTCGATAAAAATAGTTTTTTTCGTTGATTCTTTCGTCTGTTGAACTTTATTTTTCGATTTAACACGGTATTTTTTCATTGGTCCGTAGTCTTTTATCTTGATTGAAACGTATTTTGATTATTAAAATACGTCACGTATTATACAAAATTGAACTTTTCGAAGAAACAAAACTAAGAAGAAAATTGATGAACTTCGGAAAGACACTTTCATAGTTATTATCTTAATCTTGTATCATGTAATTTAAGCTCTTCCGTGGATACCCTAAATATAATAAAAGTATAGAACGGATGATCTCCTCTTTTCCTTCCTTGTATAAAATAGAAAATTCATTAATAAGCTCTTATGCTTGTCGGCATGACACAAAAAAAAAAAGTTCCACATATTTAAAACAATCTCTTAGCTTTAAAGCTTCACAGAACAAGATGAATTGAGTTCTTCCTTGAGGGTCATGCCATTGTCAAGAAAACCTCAAGTCTTTTTCTTTCGAATATTGTTCTAGTTTTATAAACTGATAAATATAGAAAATATTCAAATTTTCTATATTTGGCATTTTACATATATATAAAGTCAGTTAGCACAGACGAAATTATTTCTCTATATGATTCTTCTCTATGTTAACAAGTATAAATCTGTTCAGTAGAAAATTAATCTTATTGAAATGATGAGATTTTAAACAAAGCCTGGCAATTTAGAGTAGAGAGAATTATACGAAGGGCTCTTAATGAATATAATAAACTTATGTTTCTTTTTTAATTTTCTACATGAAAGGTTCTTTTTTTTCTCTACAGGAAGAATGTTATTTGAAGAACATCAATATCTAATTGTGTTGTCTAATCTGCATCTTTTCTTGACATATCAATATTTTTTCTTTTTAAAGCTAACGGCATTTGTTGATTTGAAAAGAAAATCTTTTATCCTTTATTTCAATGCATCGTAATTCATTATATTCTAAACTACCTCGAAAATAAATCAGTTTTTTTTTATTCATTACCTCCCATTCTTTAAGTAAAGTATTTTGTCGTTTTAAATAATGTTGTTTTTTTTGTTGTGTACCACTATCAATTGATGTTGCATTTTTTGAACTAGTAGTATTATTTTTATTATTAGCATATAAATAGTCATCTGTTAATTCAGGATCATCATTGGCTAACAAAACAAAACCTTGAACAGATGAGATTTCATTATTTTTTAATTGAGTATTAGATGAACGACGATTAGTTTGATTAAATGAAGTATTATTATTATCGGGATGATTATCATCTGATAAGGAATCTGCTGAACGTTCAGGGCTCCAGCGAAGAAAAAATGCATAGAGATGATCAATTCTAAAATATAAGAAAAAAAAAATACCTCGATCAACCATACACTTGTATTCTCTACAGAATTAATGTCTATCTATTATTTATCAATTTATAATGACTTCACATATAGAAGTATAATGCGTCTACTATTACTAGCAAAAAAAAAGTCCTATTAAAGATACCACCATAAAAATGGATACTTACTTCTTGACATATTCTATTCTTTAAGATTAATTTTTTTACTATTAATTATTTCTATAAGTAAACATTCAGTTTATATCGTTACTGATTGTATACATATATAATCATGCACTGGGGGTATTTTTGAGTGTGCCTATCATTTTAATGATGAAAAATTATAGATTGATGATCCTGAAAATCAATAAATAAATCTTACTATTAATATTCAGTAATGAGTAAATCGTATTTTTATGACATGCATAATATTTCATATAAATAATTTACTGGGACAATCATTCCCATTTGTGTAGAAAATATAAATGATAGACTTTTTTGTCATATTTACTAGTCAATTGTTTTCATTTCCTATTCTGATTTAGAATGTTATATTAAATTTTCTTATAAAATTATTCTATTAGTTGTCGATATATAGAAATTATTCTTTTATCAGTACACATAGTTAGGATACAAAATGATTCGAATACAACGGGTATTGTTTGATATTGACACGCATGGTTCTTCACACTTCAAAAAAGGGTTAGAGAATTAATCTATATACACACATTATTATTTTATCTCAGCATCTAGTAGTACTTAGTCTATAAGGTCATGCAAGAACTATAACATAATAATCAAGATAGCAATTTTAACATAATATTGTTTTTACATTAGGAAATGATGCTTTTTCCTTATTAAAATATGGAGCGATTTTGTGAAAGAAAATATCAATAAATTAGTTCGAAATTGATTATTATCGGATGGTTTAAATAGAATGACGATGTGAATATTTCATCAATATCTGCTTCAGTTTTCATCGTTTTTATTTGAACTTTTTTTTTCGAGAGGATCACTTGTTCAGTTTTCGGCAAATATACTAAAAACTTTGATCTCAAGGTGAAAGAGGGAAAATTGGCCAAATAATACTGTGAAGTTTTGACATGTGACAGCTTCTGTGGAAAAAATTACTATTTTCTCTAATTTACTCGATAATACTTTGAGAAATAAAAAGGGTGAATTAACTATTTTGTAGCCCGACGTATTGCATTGAAATCTGCAATTAAACTTTCGAATCATTTTCTGAATGAGAAGAGAAAATAAATGAAATTTCGATTATTGTCAATTACATTAAAAGACTCTACACGACGAGAAAGAGCATTTTTTCATTATATGATAACAAAGTTTTTTAGCGATTTCTTTTTTTAAATTATTCATAGAAAACAATGTGAAGTTTTTCAAAAAGAAAAGCTTTCGAAAGTTCGACATATCAGAACTTCATTCTATTATTTGGCCAATTTTCCTTCTTTAAACTTGAGATTAAACAGCTTTTTGGTAATTTTGTAAAAAAATTAAACAAATAATCATCTCAAAAACAAAAACGTTCAAAGTAAAGCAATACAATCTGAAAAAGATATAGATGAAACAATGACATGACTATTTTATCTAGATCATCCGATTAAGATCCAATTATATTTCTTAAGTAATGTTTTTGCAGGATGCTTTTCTTTTAAACCGCTTGAACTATGTAAAACAATTGATTCTCAATAAAATATCAGGCAGATTAACATAATGAAGATCATTTTGATTAAAAGTTTTTAATCCAAATTTATTAATATGTTTGTTACATGAGATATGAGGCGTGCATATGTCAGTACTATGAATACATTGTTTCGAACAAAAAACAAGAAATCTCTGACAGCTTAATTATTTTTCTCTCATTTGAATAATCAAACATGATGGTTTTCTTACTGAATATGATTATACCAATTGATCGATCTAGAACATCATAAGCATCATCCACTATCCATTTCAAAATATAATGTGTTTCCTTGTTTGTTTTTTTTTGAATAAATTTTGATCGAAATAAGCGACTGGTTGATCAGGTGAGTTCTTGGCCAAAACTTTCGAAAGTAATATTCTGTAGATATTTTCTCTTCGATTCAGACTTTTACTAGGACTAATAGATAGAAAAAAATCTTCTTTTTCGATCTACACAGGGCCGACATGTTTAGCTTGTTCTATTCGAGGGTTATCGGACTTGTTCTGAGATTCCTGATTTCAGTCAATTAAACTGTGATCACCTAAAAAAGCAGCTACGAAGGAGTAATTCACCATTCTAAGTGGAACAGTTATATTGGTTTTTAGATGGATGGCCGGAGTCTTCACTCTTGGGCGCCTTGAACCGCAGGCCTCTATGATGTTCGTATTAAAAGTTATTCAGAGAACAATGCCGTGCATTCTTTTTTGAAATGGATAGTAAATGCTATGGAGCAAAATATTACTGAATTATTACTTGAACCCCAATTGTATATCTCAGTTTTTACATAATGTACTTTACTGATTAAATGTTGAATTCAGAGTCTCAATATCATAGTTGTTATGTATTTTCAGTGAAAATTTCTTTAATAGATCTTTATAAAGTTTGTACACTGCATAATGCAGACCTCAATGAGATATGAAACATCTCAAAAGGATTAGCACACTTCAATCTTCTTTTCAGAGTTATAGCCATCTTACAGGAATTTGTTGGCTATGACATGGTATGTATCAACCAATTGAATGACGGTATTTTGATCTGACTTTTGATCTATACATAGATCTATTTGTGACTAGAATGTTCTGAAGATTTTGAGCTCGAAAGAATATTTCCTTTGCGAAGTGTTAAATTTCCAAAAATCTGATATTTTCACATCTTTCGCAGGATATGAGTGATTTTTGGAAATTCAATATCTCACAAAAAAAACATTGTTTTCAACTAAAATTTTCAAAACATTTTAGTCACAAATAGATCTTTCCACGAGCGAAATATCATTTTGCAATACTATCGCTCGATTTGTTGTTACATACTGTGTCATAGTCTAAAATTCTAGTAAAATGGTTATAACTCTGGAATGAAGATTTAATGGTACTTATCTTTTCAGGATGTTTCATATGTAGAGTTTAAATGAAAAATAAGTCTGCTGACGAGCAAATTATTAAAGAGTAGTTCGAGAATATGCATCGCATATCGATATACATTGTTCAGTTCTTCAAAACTTTTAAGAAAAGCATTTTATTGAACGGACAAGTGTCTAGCTATAGTTTTCGAAATACTCTGACAAACATTTTTCTGTCAATATCAAAGAACTAATGTAAAACAAGAAACCCACAATAAGAATGAATTTGACATATTAAAAACCTTGATTCTTACCTTTCTTTTGGTACAGAAAACCAATATTCATGTTCAAGTTCTTTTTTTCCATAAATATAATCAACACGTTTCTTATTGAGTCTTTCTTGTACAGATCCAATATCATTGGCAAGTGTACTTGTTTTCATACATAAATAATACGGAATTTCTATTGGATGCGGTGTTACATAAATGTCATGTTGTTTTTGTAATAATTCTTAATTTTAATAGAAAAAAACCAAACTTTTTTTTCGAAAGAAAAATCAATTCATCTTACTATCTATTTCACCAAAACGTTTATTAAATTGATCAGCAGGTACACAGTTTTCCAGATGGCATTCTTCAATAAGGAAAAAGATGAATGATTTCAATACAAAGCATCAATTTATTTTTTCTGAGGCTTCCCTTTTCCCAAAATAAAATAATCCTACACCAAAATACATGCATAGATAAGCCTTTCAGCTAGAGATGTGCGAGACCACGAAAAACAAATTCGCCACGATTGAAGCTTAAGCTCATAGTAAAATATTCTATAGTTTTAAGTGAATTATCTTATCAAGCATATGCATGAGAACATAATTCAAGAAAAGAAGTATCGAAAAATAATTTTAGATGTGATATAAATAAACTCTGGAATATTTTTTTCTAAACTAGAACTGGAGACCAGAACTACTAGAAAAGAAGGTGCCGGGACGAGGACTCCACCTGATTTATGGGGACTATGGTCGACACCGGTGGATAAAAACGTTACCGCGACTAAAAATGCTTGGTCCCGTGCATTTCTACTTCCGCCACTTGAGTCTGACATAAGGAACAAAGTTAAGAAATCCAAAAACAAATAGTTTTATTTGAATAAATCTACATTCACATGAAACATCGAACAGAGCTTTTGCTTGTTTAAAATATAAGTCTCTTATTATCGAATAAAAAGTCGAAATTAATTCATAGTTAACATGTCTCTTTAGTTTTATAAATTCGGCTTACAATCGTTCAGCCACTATCGAGTTCGCATGTTGTTCCATTTTCTAGTATTTGATGGATTTTCTCGTGCTGAATCCTGAGCAGAGATGGATGAGCTATTGTATCAAAGAAAATATATGAGAAATTAACAGTGCTTTCATAGTTCGATGCCAATCTTTAACAAAGTGTGGGTGTAACTCAAGAGAAGACATACGCCAATACATTTTCTTGTATTTCTGTAATTTGTTCTTTACGTCAGATTCATATGCCGTGTCACCTACACCAAAATAGCAAAACCTACTCTCTAATGCAATAGCTTGTATTAGTTGTGTCCAATTGGAAATTTCTTTTATTTTAATATATTAATTGAATTTTAAAGAGGAAAAAAAAAGTAATACTTACGTGATGATAAATCTTTATCGTCAATTAAAACTCCAATGGAATGTTTTGAATCATCAAATGAATGAAATAAATCTTCATAATGAAAAATTTGATTATCGGCTGATATACTGCGACGAACATGTGATGAGGCATTAAATAACACAAAACTTGAATCAGTTGATGAATTTAATTCTTTATCAATTTGATCTAATAATGATGACATTGTTTCATGTACTTCTTGTTCATCGTTATTAGAAAAAATTGTTGTAGATTGATCAAGATTTTTTATACTTGTTGAATGACACATTTTTCGTTTTTCCTCATCTCTAATCAAATAAAATGAATCTTCTTTTAATGAAATGTTTCACAAAATATTTTCTTTTATACCGTAGCGTTGCTGCATGTTCATACATCGCGATATCTTCATATAAAGCAATACCAGCAAGTAAATCCATGCTAAAAATAAAAATAAAACCAATATTGAAATTAATAAAGAAAGATAATGAACAAACCGAATTATTAAACCATATTTATCAATACCATTTTCTTTAACCAATGGATCGAGAACATCGGGATCAAACATGACTGCATTTGGTGTAACAAGTAATGTACCAGCAACACTTTTCTAAAATGAAAATATTTCATGAATATATTCGTGTTAAATGAAAACTTTGTTAAACAAAGTTTCATCGCGAAAAAACTTAATAAAGTGAGTTACACTTTTACAAACTGATGTCTCTCAGTTATAAATTAAGTTTATATTTCAGCATAATTTTTTGCAAAACTCATATGACATAGATTTTGTATTCTTGGAACAATCATATATAGAAAAAGTTAAAACTACAAGTCTTAGCTTCTAGCCATATACTGATACACATTCACACAAGTTTTCGACGACTAACTAGAGAACATACTCAACTGTCGGAAGCCGTATAATTTCGTATTTTGGATATCAATAGGACTGAGTGAAACTAAGAGAAATCAGAATAGATTCGAGCCCTTATGTTATTCAGCTAGAGTTATGACTGTTTTAGTAGACCTTCGGCCTCTGGGTCAACTATTCATGAAAAATTCCACCACAAGACTATCATTGAAAGCTTTTCTCATAGATTGGTTTCACGGCTACCAGACTAGCCGGAAATCCAAATGAGCTATGAATACTATGAAAAGAATTCTTGCGCTTAACTTATTGCTGTAGAGAAGCACTTCACTTTTATGGTTTTTTAAACGAAGGTTGGAACATCAGAAAAACTTATGTTCGAATTTCAACTTGAAACTTTGCATAAAAAACAGGTATTAACGAAAAAAGTTTATTGTGAAAGTTTCAAATATTTTGATTTGCTTTTATAGTAAAACAAGAGTATTAAAAGTGCTGGTCTCTATGTGTGATGTAAAAGGCAAGCTATTATCATAGTTATATCTTAGAATAAGAACAGCGATAATACCTGAATCATTCTCATTAAAGCGTATCTCTATGAAAATTTCAATTCGAACTTCAAAAATCAGTTTTTCTGGTGTTTCTCCATCCAATTAAAAAACTATAAAAGTGTAGTAATTCCGCAGCAATAGTCTAAGAGAAAGAACTCATTTCAAGGTATTCATAACTCATTGAACTCTACATAATGCACATAGTCTCAAATCAAAAGCAATTAAATAGTTAGAAGACTTCACTCGTAAAACAATTAGATTCTATAGTTTGCTTTATGTTATACATATTCGTTGCATACTTGCTATCTCAAGAAAAATATGTTCGTCTGAGCTGAGATTTTTAGGATATGTTAATGGTCGTGAGACCTGTCTATGGACATAATTTCAGATGAAAATCTCGCAATTGACTTTTTCTTGAGCAGCTAGTCCAGAAATCGAAACCTATTAAAGAGTTCATATATCAGACTGGGTAATGCAAACGGTTTCAAATTATTTTAGGGTTTTCTTAGTTTCCCTGAGTCAACACAAAGCTAAAATACTGGATTGACCGACGCCTAAAAGTTGAAAATAATAAATTTAGATTTACTATGAACATTATATTTATCTTTCACTTTAACTTAAATTATTTGTTTTTTTTTGTTGATTTTTCTCACGCAGTAAAATGTTTGTCCCGACAACATTTAGACTCGCGACAAACACCTCCATAAGTCTTATCTACGGACGTTATGCTGAAGCTTTTTGTATTAAAATTATTTAAAAAGTCAAATTGAAATTTGAAAATATCATAATTTTTCTTTTTTCATCATTCATATGTACGTCTGCTAAAGCTATGCGTGGACACCTAAGATTTTCAAAAAAATCAATACGATACAAATCTTGAAGTTTAAGAAATTCTTTGTCTTATAGAAAAATTTCACAAGACATTGTAATTATTAATATTTAATTTGTAAATTTTTCTAACAAGTTTAATACATATTATTAACACACGAATAATTTTAAGCGAATATATGGTATGTTTTTACTATCAACTTATCATTCTCTTTCGTGATACAAGAAAAAAAATCCTAAAAATTGGTTTAGTTTCTTTTTTTCTCTTTACTTTAATTTTATTACTTACATGATCGTCAGTCATAAGTCTAACATTAAGTTTAATAAAACGTTGTAAACATTCCTCATCTAATTCTTGATTTTCTTCTATAGACAAAGATTTTTGTAGGTGTTTAACTTGTTTAGTATTATCTTCTTTTTGAGTTTTTATACGATCTTCAATAGTTCGTGTTGATGATTCACTTTCTGTACTTGCTTCACTTTTTAATCGCTGAGCACGGCCAGGTTTTGGTGTTATTTGTCGAGTCATTGACCAAACCATTTGACCAACATCTTGTTGTGTAACCGGAGGAGAAGATTCACTTGATGAACGACGGTTTGTATGAACAATAAATGCATCTTCATCTTTAGGTTCTTTTAACAATGATGATGGTGATTTTATTGGTAGAGCAGTAGATTTTTGTTGTTCATCATTTATGTTTGAAGCAGATGCTTCAGGTACATAGAGTATCTAGAAATAATAAGATATAGATGAGAATAAAGAAAGAAAATAAAACATACTTGACCAGGAAAGACAATACGTGTATTCAATTTATTGAGCTGAAGTAATTCGGACGGCGTTAAGTTAAAGTGAAGAGCAATCTTTTCTATTGTATCATGGTTGCCTACCTGAAAATTAAATACAAACAGTTTTAATGAAAATTAGTTTTTAATTTAGATTTCATACTGTATAAGGTATTGTCCCTTTTGGTTGGCATGTTGGTCGACCACGTTTAGAATCCCGATCTATACAAAAATAAATATTGAGAGTAAGTTTCTGAGACACTCAAACATCTGCGAACGACTGATATCTTAGAAGTTCATGACGTTTTTATATGTTGTAGAAGATAATGAATTTTAGTAATCTCTAAAATTTTTAACTTGATTCGAACACTATTATTCGATATACTGATGAAGTTTTTAACGATAATTAGTCTTGCTTGTCGAATTGAAGAAGTTTTGATCTTATGGAATGCTTTGATATTTGCACCAATAATAGAGATGAAAAAGTTATATCATCTGATATTGTTAGCAATTTTATACCATGTGAAAAATCCGTCGTTTTCCAATGGTTCATCAAACACTTTTGAAGACACTGACGTATTTTTCACAAGGTACTGTCTCGACTGGTTAATATTGTCCATGTTTAAATATATGATTTTTTTTCTTATGGATGGTATAAAACTATAATATGTTTAAAAAAGGCAGTCACTTCTATACAAAATAAATATTAAACGTAGGCTTGTTTCAAATTTTGATTGTAAAACGTTGACTTTTATTTAAAATGAACTTAACATTCGCAATCAATCTACAAAACTACACCAGAAAAAAAACTTGTTTTATTGTAAAATATTTTCCATTGAAATTTCACCTGTAGGAGAACGTAGGATAAAATTTTATGGGTGAATGATTGAACAGGTGTATAGACAAGTGTTCATCAGAAACATTTCAAGATGAAAAATATATCTTATGGTGTAGTTTTGCATGCTGATTGCGAACATTTGGTTCATTTTGGATAAAAGCTAACTTGCCACAGTCGAAATCTAGGCATAATAGGTTACATCTTATGTTTATTTTCTATCAAGGTGAGCTTCTCTTTAAAATTATCATCTTTTGCTAAATATATCAGATGATATAGCTTCTTGAACTCGAATTCACAAAAACGAATAAGAAAAATTATCGTTGGAAAGTTTCGAAGGTTATTGCACTCATTATCCTCTGCAGCATATAAAAAAAATCAGGAAATTCTGAGATATCACGCTATCGTTGATGCACTAGAGTGACTGATTTCTTCAGACACTCACTCCTAATTATTTGCGTTATTGACGCTCTTTTTATCCTACTTGTAGTCGTTGTTGGTGGGTTTAAAAGATTTTGTGCATTTGTCGTAGCATTTGTCAATGATTGTGATGATGAATGACTATCATTATCTTTAGACGTAGTCATTAAAGATACACTTGATGAAATATTTGCTACTGATGATTGTTTAGAAACAGGATCTGTGGTACTTCTATATAAGAAAAAAAACAAAATACCAAACAAATTTTGTTATATTATTTCATTATTTTTATCGAACCGATTTCGATACATTTTTGACAAGTCTCACTGGATTTAATTCATGATGATCGATGTCAATAGAATTTCTCGTGTGATAGACGAAGAATGAAAAAAGAATAAAACAATAAATAATAATAACAATAAAAGACGAATAAATCTAGAAAGAAAAAAAAAAAAAGATAAGAATAGTGTGATATACTCTAAACTTGTCTTTTTTATCTATTCTTCATAATAAAATCACTACTTGACAAGTCTATAATTATCGCCTTTTATGTTATACAAATAGCGTTAAATTGAATATTCTTTTCAGTTCAAACACAACAAAACGAAAAACATGTATATATATCAATAAATATTTTCTTTTCTTTTCCTCGACGTTCTTACGAATAAAATAATTGAATTGGTTATATTATATATTTCTGTAGCGCAATCGACGAGAAAAAGAGAAGGAAAAACTACTTGCAGCAAACAAATAAGACGTTGATCATGGCAAATAATGGGTGAAATAGAAAAAAAATTCTTGTTGGTAGCTTAAATCAACCAATAAACAACAACTAAAATTTTGTGAATGAAATATTTTATTTTAGTTTTTTTTAAATAGAATTTTTGTGAAGATAAAACAAAAAAATTAATTTTTATATTATAAATAAATATATTTATCAATTTCATTGATATCAATTACTATATGGTGACCATACGTATGATTGTTTTATCCATTCAAACTATAAAAATATGAAGTCGTTCATAAAAAACATAACTGTATGAAGTGATGGTCTGGAGAAAGCTGCTTCTAGTCTTAAATTAGGCAAACAAAATATATTCTAATATTTGAAAAATACATTTCTATAGAAGCATTTGTGAAAGGTGAAACACAGCATGCTAAAAAGAAGAAATAAATTAATCGAAAAAAAAAGCAAAAGGCTATTCGTCGAAACATGATATTGATCAAAGAGCTACTCATGAGTAACGAGTCCATAATGGTAATACAAGCAGAAAAAAAAACTATTAATGACCTTCAACCCAAAGGTTGCGTTATTAATAACTGTACAATAAAAAAAAATCAAATATCTCGACTTTTGTTCAATCAAGCGAATAGATCTTTTTTTTGTTGATGAGGAAGATCTATTACAAGTCGTTTTCTTCATATGAATAACATTAAAAAACTACTTCCTTGAAAGATAATAACAAGAAAAAATCAAAACAAAGCTTATTAATGTTATCGCACAGAGAAAATATTTCGAACTAGTTAGTTTAAAAGTCAGCACTTACTATATGTCAAATTTTCACGTATAGAATACTGGTTTTCTGCAATGAAGCTAATAAATCAGTGTTTCAGGGATCCAATCATGTATTTCATCTGTGTTCTTTTAGCAATCTAAAGACAAGTGAATATTAAAATAACTTTACCTTAAATACTATCAAACAAAGAAGTCATCCGGAGTTCTCTTTTTTCGATTGTTGAAAACCATAGATCACTATCTGTTGTTATTGTCAAGTTCTTAAGATTACACCCACTACTTTTTAATTTTGGTGTATGGTCGGACAAGTACGTACTCTTACTTGCTCAGCTCCGCTTTCTCGTGTTATTATCTTAAGTGAAAACTAAAAATTAACTATGGATCGCAGAATATACATATATCTTATTTAACAGCAGATTACATTTTTTTATTATTTCGGGGTAATATTTACTTATATGATTCATATGAAAAAAAAGATTAGTTTACAAAGCATCATTTGATATGCAATTCACCATTGATTTTATTGCTTACTTCTTAATCGTGTAGCAATATTGTTTGCAATTCGTAGCAGACATCTAATAAGTGCAGGATGATCAAGAGTTTTTCAGAACTGAAACAATCTTTTTAAGCTTTTCTAAATTGACAATTTCATATTTTGGAGTAAAAGTAAAGTTGCCATACAATTTATTGTTATTGATTATTTCTTTTCGATTACTATCAGCAGGTGATTTTTAAAGAGATCGAAACTCAATTTATGGAGATATTTATCGTCGTTTTCAGGATTGATTCAATATAATATTCTTTAAAACTACTAATTTTAAGAATAAAACTTGCAAATAAATATGAAACATTTGCTTTTTTTCCACTATACATTCGATCGACATTGAGAAGAAAAATTAAAATAGAGATTCAAACACTGCTTTTTGACATTCAATATCAGCGTAATTGATTCTTTAACACAGTACAATCAACAAAAGTCTCTTATTATTGAAATTCAACTATTATTGAAAATTTAGTGATAGGTTCTCGTGTGTATAGTTTCAAAGTTATCGATGAACTTAAGAAAGATATTGACATGGATCATCTTCTTCATCATGGATGCTATTAACACAAGTTGATTACCAAAACCTGACATAGAGAATATTCGTGCAATGTATCAGCTGCAACTTTGCAGTGAATAGTAAAGAGAAAAATTCGATTGTCTTAATTTTCGATGAAAATTCGCCGAATGTATAATGCAATAATTCAATTAGAAAACTATATATTTAAATAAAATATAAATTCACTTCATAAGTTTAAAATGTAATTTGGCATGTTATAGAAAAGTTAGAAAAGACGAAATTATGCATATGTATGTTTCAGTATCATTCGATATTATAACAAAGAGAACGAAGAATTCAACTTTCCAACAGGAAAATTATTTCCTGTTCCTTATTTCATTTTTTTTGGTTTTGGCTAAACAAATAGTTCACAATCGTAAACGTTTATATCATTGATTGCATCATGCTGTGTTCATGAGAAATAAATCTATGAACTAAAATATTTGTAAGACACAATTATTACTCATTAAAAGTATTATATATCTCAAGTAAAAGCAAACTATTCATGATAATCTCAATTTTCAAAAAGCTGTTATGTTTGCTAATCATATGGAGATTGTTTTATTCTATCTATTTCGGGACACATTTCATCATCATTCTTTTGCTTAATCCTCTAGAAATGCAATAAAGCATAAAGTAACGAAACTTCATTGATATATGGTCCAAATTTTTACCTCTACGCTTCAACATTCCATTTAAATTGTGTTGCACAAAAGTACTGTTTTGCACTTTACCAGAAAAAAAAAATACTTTGCTTATTTGTTGCTGTATTATGGAAATTTCTCTCATCTCTTTTTTAAAACTTCCAATCGTTTCGCCTATACAAGCTTACGATGCGTTAGTATCTACACAAATGTCAAGGTCTACTGTGTTCGATTGAAAAATGTTAGAAGCCTAACTTTTTCATTCACAAATAGGACGAAATATGTGCTTTAAAATGTATATTGAAAATAAAATTTACGGAGTAATTTTTAAGATATTAAATTTTAATGCTTTTAAAACCATTATAAATGGCTTATTATGAAAGCAAAATGAGTAAGTCTTTCATATTTGAGCTATGTATTTGTTGTAATGCTTTCAAATACGATATAAATTGAGTAATTATATAGCTGTGGTTGGAAAAAAAACTTCAAGTCAAATGGATACCAAGTACGATTTCGTAAGCAATATTTTGTTTCATCATGTATGAGCTTAGTACAATGTATTTTTCTTATTTCACGAAATACAGTTTCCGTAGCCTTCTTTTTCCAAAATTAAACTCACTATCTTCTTTTTTCATCAATGTAATACAAGGTAAAACAGGAAAAACTATGAAAATATTCACCATAGTAACAAGCCGTTTTTAATGATTTAAAAAACATTAGTACTGTCTTCAAAAGCTCTTTTCGAACGTATTAACATGCACTAACAAGAATAACAATAATTACTTTCATTTTATCGTTGTTTTATTTCTTATATGCATATGATAGTAAAAAATTAATTCAGAGCAGTATTTCTTAAACTCATGAGGGTAGTTCCCGAGATATTGTGCACAGCCGTAGGGGATCTATGAATTAGAGTAGGCTTCCAAGAGTGCCTTCTGACGTTTAGATTTGACTGATATATTGACTTTTTAGTGAATTGTCTTTGTATGAGCCTAATTGCTCGATAAAATCTTATCGTCAAGTTTTGACTTGAAACTAAATTTCGATCGAGTGTCTCCGAGATATGGAACTTTCAAAATATGCGTGTTTTATACGATATCAATTGAAAACCACTTAAAGTCTGAAAAGTCCATATCTCAGAGATACTCGATCGAAATTTAGTTTCAAGTCAAAACTTGACGATAAAATTTTATCGAGC